TCTGTATAAAAAAGTTGTATCTCTGGTGCAGTTCAAGCATTCAGAGAGTTCCTCACTGGTTGCATGGAAAGCTGTTGCATTATCCGAGAATATAGTTTAAGGGATTAAATAGACTTATTTTAGAATTAGCAAGCAACGAAAAAAAATTTTCTGGAGCTCATATGTCTTTTAGAAAGCTATTTTGCTGAGACGCACTTACAAGATCACTTCTAACTTTCAGGGGTGATTGTGAGCTCAATTCAAAAATCCTGAAAATTTCTCGAGTAAAATTATTAGTTACGCATCTCAAAAAATTAATGTCTTCAAAAATTTAAATCATTGATATTTTAAAAACATGAAATTCTAAATAAATTATATGCAGCATAATTTAAATGAATAATTATGTATAAGTTTCCTTTTATGTCTACTCACATTTATTATTCTAAAAGAAAAAATATTTACAAATGAAAGAGATGCCAAGTATAAATTCTAGTTCTAATATTTCTATATAAAATACACAAGAATTTTCAGACACAAATGCGATCGATGATTTCTCGAAGTTTCTAGACATTGATTGGAATTTCGGGAAACTGCCGGACCACAGTTAGCGAAAAATCCGAATTTTTTCCGAAGCACAATCATCTTTGAACATTTTTTCAAGTTTAATTCTTTAGTATTCCCTGTATGTGCGTTGTGAGTTAAGTGAAAGCATCATGCAACAATACACAGATTCTCTGTAGTGTTGCATAAATAGCTTCTCTGAGAAGATTGTTATAAGAACTGAATCTTGAATAATCAATGATGTTTTCGTTTAAAGAGATTTCATATACTTCTATATTTTGATTTCATGTCTGAAGGAGTAGATACTTAATATTTTTGGTGCCTTTCGGCCACTTGCCTGATGATTCAAGCAAAAACAATGGACCATGCCACTATAGAACAAGATCTTCTAATTTGGCAAGTGGTACCCCTCCAGAAAGAGCGTCAGGAAAGTTAACTTCCAACGATGTGGATTTCCTTTAATCCCTGCCGAAGTCACATTAAAATTGCTTTACTAACATCAAAATTAGTTTCCTGGCAAAAAATAATGAAGTAAACCGGCACCAGTCAAAGCTTCTAATAATTCCAGTTTGGGAAGAGTGATTCGTTTTAAAGGTGAAAGTGTATTCTTTCTACAACTTATCTTAACCATAGAGTCTTCACTGAAACGGATATAGCCATAAGCTCGTTCAGAAGCATCACAAAATACATGTAAGAAGCATTGGAGTTTTCAGATGTTCCAATCCATCTCCTGCTATGTGTAGATCACTTAAGTGTAATTTTTATTGGCATACGTGCCATTGCTCAGAGATTTATGGCGGATTCCATTGGATCCCTTTGAGCCATGCGTCTTAGGATAATATCTTTCCAATGACTGATACTGGAGCAATCATTCTTAAAGGATCATAAAACTTTGATATTGACTTTAAGAGAGAATGTTTAGTAGCTAGTTTTTGGTTTAGGTTTAAAAATTTTTCTTTGATTTCTTTAAAAAAATTTATTATTTTCAGTATTCTAGTTGATGCCCAAAATTTGACAATCATTAATAAAAGTTAAGTTTCTTTGTATCCATTTCCTTTTTAAATTGGCGAATTAGTAACCTATTTTGCTAATGGAAGACTTATGAGGAACATAAAATCTGCCACCTCTTGGTAGTAATAGCGTCTTTGTTTGTTTCTACACTCATAGCAAACTCGTCCATGAAAAGACATTTCTCAAATGTTTTGAAGCACATAAATAAGTTGTTGCATTTAGTGAAGCCAACTACTGCAATGTGGGTGAAAGTAGAAAGTTAAACCACATGGCAAACGCTTGAGACGGTAGTAAAACTTTAATTGCTAAGATTGATTATTTCTCCATCAGAGTTTTCCTTTAAACCAAAGAAATCTCGTTACGTCCCGATCTGCTTCAGCTAATGTTAACTGAAGAAAAGCCACACTTCCATCTGCTGAAACAGCTATTGGATGCAGTTAATAAAGTTTCCATTATTTCTGGTAACAAATTGAGTTCATTTAGAGAAGGATTTCCCAAGGTGTGTGTGAAGATCCGTCAAAAACATTTAATATTACCAATTTTTTTAATACTGAAGTGATGAAAATATATGTTTTGTTCATCTGATTCATTTGGAGCCACTTCTACTTGATCACCATCCATTTTAATTTTAATCTTTCATGTATCGAATATAAGTATTTTCTAATTCTTTGTCATTCAACATTCTACAGCAGCATTAAATGCAACATTATTATAGCTATTTAACGAACAAATAACATCAAGTTTCCGAGGCACATTCGCGACTCTATGATTGTCTTTTAGTATTTCAAGGTTACGTGCAGACTAGACTTTTTCTTCATTAACTTTTATTCCTATTGTTTCCAAATCCCAAAATTCTCTGACGTGATATTCAAAAACCGGTACTAAAGTTCCTGTACTAATGTTGTGAACTGAAATGCTATGGTAGTAAATGAACAGTAGAATCCATCTAAACATAGTAGGTATGAGTACCCATGAGTTGCAGAAAGTCGAATTGAACATGTACTATTGTCCATAAAACTCAGCCTCTATAGGTAAGTCACTCAATCAGTCTGATGGATCAGCAAATTGTAACATTTTATTACGGCCAAAGGAACAGCGCATAGGTGTTTGAACTTTCAAATGCCTGAATTTGAATATTTAGTGTGGAGTTGTTCAAATGCTAAAATAAACCAAATTTAACTTTTCGCTTCGGGTCTGGGTGAGCTGCAATGGACTCAAATGCCTCGAGATTCAATGGTTCTGAGCTAATAGTTTCTGGGTACGAGGCATCAGACGAATGAAACTAGATTGACTCGCACCATTATTTTAACAGGGTGCATAGCTAAATCTCTCAACAAAAGCACCTTTTAAATACTTTATAAGCACTGTGTACATTAACAAAATGCAAAATAATTTTCAAAGACTTTACATGATCATGATAAAATAACTAGTTTCTGACAAAAAAACTTTTTCCGTGATTATATTAGCCGTTATAAAATGATAGAGTGATTTTTCAGCTCGATATCAGAGGAAACAAAATGAAGCCTGAAATTAAGAGTATCTTGTAAAATGCAGCAGAGTTGCCATGAGAGTGCAATAATCTCACAGAACCCAGCTCAATAGAATCACATGCAGACTTGCAAGTATTTCATCAAACATGTAAAATAATTGGAGCTTTCATATGCTATGGACAGACGGTACGGCGAAATGGATTGTTGTTGAATGAAGTGTGAAAATGTCGGATAGAACAATGTAAAAAGCACGATTTTGCTTATTGCGTAAAATTCGACGTGGTAAAGAAAAAGGTCTCATTTTCAAAAAGGGAAAATTAAGCACTTTTTAAAAACACCCAATGAAAAAAATCACCTTTAAAGTCTTTAAAAAAATCAAAAATAAGCACCTTTAAGCATTTTTTAAAAATGCTAAGCACCATGTTTAAGACACTGCATTATTTTTATTTTACCTAAACCATATACTCGAGCAGTTTGCAAATGGGTCAATTTAGGTGTATTTTAGGTAATATAAAATATTTGTGGGTGTAAAATTCACTAATTCTTCATTAAAACTTTAAAGATTCATAAAGAATAATAAAAAAATTAGATAAAGAGATACAAACATGATCTTAAAAAATATATCATTATGCGAATTTTAAATTTAGAACGCTGAGATTATTTGTTGATTAAATTAAAGCTGTGAAGTCCATTATTGGGACAATGCCAGTTTAAGAGTCACATCAGACAATCATATAGTTATCCACCTTATAATTTACTTCCGCTTAAAAACCAAAATTTATTTATACAGAAAACTTATCAAAACTTAATATTATTAAACTTAAATATTATATATAAGAACAAACTCGAAACAAGAAATTACACAATTATTTTTCACAAATTATTCGAATTTTATAATTCCAAAAAAATTCAACCATGTTGCAGCAGAGCAGATGTTAGACTTATTTACTTTGAACATCATTGACAACTTACTGTTGCCATTAATTGTAAAATTGATTATTTTCCATGCCTATAGCAAGATTTTTTTTCTAGGTTTTCAGCCTAAAGGTGATTTTTTTTTTATCCCATAATCAAATTCTTTGACAACTACAATTAGAACAGTTAAATCAAACTAATTCAGAAGCAGTTACCAACCTTCGTGTCACGAATCTTCTCCGTTAACAGGAGTGACAAGATAGCTTTCACTTGATTTTATTAAAATATTATGAACATTGATATTTTTCGATATTATGATAAGAATGTTGTAATAAATCAATTTTCCCTTAAAGTAATTATAACTTTACATTATTACGTACACTGATATTGAATCAACCTTTGCACAAACTTGTAAAATCTATTACCGACAATAACTTCAATTTCCTATCAATATTTTCTTTTTCATCAAAAAATTTTAAAAAATTAAAGTTAGCATCCTTAATAGACTTAGTAAACTTTTTTTTAAAAAAAGTTGGTGTATAGATAGATACTCATGAGGAGAGGAAAAAACTTAAAAGTTGTTTATACTGTGAAAAGAAGTTTATACAGATGGTTTTATTTTACATTTCAAAGTTTTCTAAATAATTAATCCACACAATTATGACTTTGGAAGAGAAAAATTAGTTATGATTTAGAAGTAATTGTATTGTTCAATTATAAGATAAAAAATATTAAGAAACAAAATATGAAAAGACATAACTTTCAAATGACAGTCATGAAATAAATTAATCGGTTGAGTGAACTTAACTATTATTAGAGTTTTTTATAATTGGTTTTTAACATAATGCAGACTAATTATTATTTTTTATGATGCACATGCTTATAACATTTCAAACTTCCTGGCAAATTTTTGGAACACTTTTCCTATCCCCTCATCATAGAAAAAACCAAAAAATAAACACACAAGTTTGGAAACATTATTTTAAAATAAAAGCATAACAAAGAAGATTAACAGTTTGAATAGATAATAGAAAGGTTTCTTACAGAATTATTATCTCGAAAGTTTGGAATATTTCTTAATAAAGATTTCCTGTAAAGTTCCCAACCAATTACGGGTGTCTTTTCATTATCTTTAAGAAAAACTTTTGCATCAGTATTTGACACCCAACGGCACCATGGTCGGTGCTCCTCCAAAGGATCAAAGTCTCTTTTATCCTACAGACAAAATAAATTTGTTGAAAAACAGAAAGGTATAAAAAATAATCCATTCAATATCATCTAAAAACACATTTAAATGCTCTCTTAAACACATTTCTTTCTTGCCACAGCTAAACTACGATGTGACAAAAAAATAACTTTGATACATAATTTTAAGACACAATTCCAACAAACATGAAAACATCACAACCTATAATGCACACTAGTGAAAGAAATTAAGAGAATTTGCAGACTGGGTCAATTATTTCTAGCACTACTGGACCGATTTGAATGAAATTCAATATATACATTGATACAATACAAAACAAATAACCATTCAACAATTGTAATACACATGCATGAAGGTGCTTAACACTCGCTGGAGTCGGATGGTGTGAAACAGAGGTTCCAGAATAAACAAAACAAAAATGTGGGTCAATAGGGGGTATGGTCCGCTCTTACAGATATACTTGCACCGTGATTTCATACTTTAAATAAAGCAGCCTATCATTTCTTGTGGCAATTGGCCTGAATTGTTCTGTGGCAATTTCATACGTCTGACTCCAACGAGTGTTACTTGTGATCATGTGTATGCATTACAATTGTTGAATGGTTATTTGTATTGTATTGTATCAATATATGTACAGTCGGCAAAAAAAAAAAGATATCACCCTGAATAACTTTCGTTCTAATGATCGGATTCTCACGAACTAAGCGTTAATCTTAATGGTTCCTGGGGATGACCTCAAATATGCTAATTAATTAGTGCTAACTATTAATTAAGTTACGAAATCAGACACAAAAACGTACTTTCTCTNTTCAGAGAAAGTACGTTTTTGTGTCTGATTTCGTAACTTAATTAATAGTTAGCACTAATTAATTAGCATATTTGAGGTCACCCCCAGGAACCATTAAGATTGACAATTAGTTCGTGAAAATCGGATATTTAGAACGAAAGTTATTCAGGGTGATATCTTTTTTTTTTTGCGGACTGTACATATGAAATTTCATTAAAATCAGTCCAGTAGTTCTAGAGATAATCGACCAAGTCTGCAAATTCTCTTAATTTCTTACACCAGTGTATGTATACAATGCACCAAAAAAAGACCATGAATAACTTTTGATAAATAATCAGATTTTTGTGCATTAAAACTCAATCTTAACAGTTTGAGGGCCTTACCCTAAATATGCTAGTTCATTAGAGCAAATGATAATTTAAGTTACAAAACACAAAAACATATTTTCTCTGTATTAACATGATTTTTTTAAACAAATTTATATTATTGATCTTCAAAACATGGAAAATAGAGTTTCAATAGCAAGGAGAGTGGTTTAAAGTTTGGAGCCCTTAATGTTAATTTCATTTTTGGCATATTTTATTACATCTTGACAAATTTTTAAGTTAAACAAAAATATTTGCACTCGTCGATAAAATTCATTTAACCAAAAATAAATTACTTTTCAATAATTATTCATTTATTTAATGATAGTCAAAAAATTTCGTATAGTCAAACACGAATTTTTGCATCTCTTGAAATTGAGTATGCAATTTCAAATCAATTTTGAATAAAATTGGTCAAATAGTTTTTAAGTCATCCTACTTTAAAAAGTCGTATATTTAAAATTCCATTTCTCGAAAACTGTTCATCTGATTTCACTTCAATTTTTAATTTTTTCACTTAAAATTACATACTACAAATCATTAAATCAATAAACACTTAATTAATCAATAAACACTTGTTACAAATCAATAAACTCTTAAGCACTTAGAAGTTTCTATTTTACAAGGATGGTGTTAAGCACCATCTTTATTTATAGTCTTTAGATTTTCAAGAAAAAGATTGTTGTTATATAAATATTTAAAAACTAACAGTAGATCTTAGCATTCAAATTAATCTAAATTTAGAATACATACCAACTTCACTCGTTTAAGAGGTCTCTCATTAGAAGTATCTGAATTTCTTTTATGAGAAGATTCTTTTTCTGAATTTGCCCCATTTTCTATATTTGAAGTAGATTTTTCTTTAGAGTTAGTTCTCTCAGAATTTAAATTATTATCTACATCGGGAGAAGATTCGTTTCCAGAGTTTGTCACATATTTTACACTAGAAGTAGATTCTTTTTCAGAAGATGTCCTATTAACTACATTGGAAAAAGACTTATTTCTAGAGTTTGTTCCATTCTTTGTATTTGGAGCATCCTCAGTGGACAAATCAGTTACTAAATTGAAAGATTTAACCCAAATCATACGTTGGCAACTGTCACACCTTACATAGGTCATCATTTCACCATTTCTGGATTAAGAGAAAAACATAATAGATATTATAGATCATTACAATATAAAAAGAATAATAATACATTATAACAATACAAGGTTAATAATGCAGGTAATGAACAATAATAATGCAGGGTTAATACTTAATTTGGAAAAAATTCCCTAGTTTTCTCTGATTATCTAGGGGAACAATTCTAAATATGTGAATATGTAATGAATCAATTGGAGAAAGAAAAAAAAATAATTCTGGTAGACAAAAAACACCAATAAAATCTTCAAAAGTACGAAAAATTTAAAGTAACATGATTTAAAATCAATACCAAATTCCTTATCAATCTTACATATTATGTGGTTGGACTGGTCAATACTATGATACACCAATAAGTTAATAAAACTATAATTTAAACTTATTAAGGCTAAAGTAATTTCCCTCAATTTTAAGGACTTTTAAATAAATAACTGTTTATCCTTAACCAGCTACAGAGTTTATTCCAGTGTTTTCATCTCAGAAAAAAAATGGGTGGGAATTTCTCACCCTTTCTCAAAAACAGGGTGAGATTTCAAAAAGTTAAGTAAGACTTCAAAAATTAAAAAAAAAAAATAAATCTTAGTTTTCACCCTTATTCTAAATTTGGTGATACCAANACATATTGAAACTAATAAATGTAAATCTTGGGTTATCAATGCATTTCCTGAAAGGACAACACAAAATAATGTATTAGGTAAAAAGTATAACAATGATAATAAACAAACTAAACTTTTAATGTTCGTCAATATAATACAAGCTCTGTAGTGGGCAGAAGAAAAAATCAAGACATTTTTTGGATTGGCATGCATGTATCAAACTGCTTATGAAAGAAAAAGCAAACAGCCAACTAAATATAATTCGATCTATTGAAGTGAATTTTATCACAAAATAATAAAGAAATATACAATTTTTAATTTTAAAATTATTTTGCTTAGAACAGGAAGTTTTAACAGCTTCTAATATAATTTTATCAATACTGAACAGCTCAATAGTGTCAAATCATGCATCGAAAATTTTTAAAGTACTGTTACGTTAAAAGAAAATCATCAATATCAATTCATTTTGTTTGCATACCAATATACAGGGTGTTTATAAAGTCCCGAACCCATTTTGATGTTTAATAACTCATAAAATAATAAAGATAGATTAAAATTAATAACATAAATGGTTAGATAGACTCAAAAAGTTTCATGACCCTTGTCAATCAACTTCTACGTGTGTCCCCTTCGTCGCACAGAGAATATTCGTCGCACGGAGAGCACAAGTGATTTTGACGTTGAGCGTGTCAGACAGACATTTTTAGACAATCCTAGAAGATCTGTGAGATCAGCGGCAAGAGAATTGGATATGCCAATTTTGAAGGTATACAAGGTTATTAAGAAACAATTAAGACTGCATGCATACAAAGTTCACATTGTTCAAGGTTTGGAACCGGACGATAGGCCTGGGAGGATGGCGTTTGCAACAGATATGGTAGGAAGGATAGAAGATGCTGCTGATTTTGTGAAGCACATAATGTTCTTCGACGAAGCATCCTTTCATGTTTCTGTCATTGTTAATCGCCATAATGTGCGCACATGGGGATCTGAAAACCCCCATGTATACCGTGAGACACAAAGGGATTCCCCAAAGGTTTATGTGCAGTGTGGACTAATGCACGACCGAGTCATTGGGCCTTTCTTTTTTATAGAAAAGACGGTCTCATCAGTCGTATACTCAGACATATTGGAAAACTTCGTATTTCCACAACTAGAAGAGCTTCAACCACATGTCTTTTTGCAACAAGATGGTGCACCACCTCATCGGGGTATCATCGTCCGTAGTTCTTTGAATGACCATTTTCCAGGAAGATGGATTGGGCGAGAAGGTCCAATCCCTTGGCCACCCAGATGACCTGATATAACGCCGTTGGACTTTTTTCTTTGGGGATTTATAAAGGACAATGTTTACAGGAGGATCGTGTCAAACATTGATGACCTAAAAGCTAGAATTACAACCGCAATAGCCTCTGTGGATGCTGACATGCTTGCCGCTACCTGGCGTGAAATTGACTATCGACTTAATATTCTCCGTGCGACGAAGGGGGCACACATGGAAGTTCATTGACAAGGGTCATGAAACTTTTTGAGTCTATCTAACCATTTATGTTATTAATTTTAATTTATCTTTACTATTTTATTAGTTATTAAACATCAAAATGGGTCCAGGACTTTATAAACACCCTGTATAATTAAAATTTGTAACAGAATTCAAGGTGTCCTTAATCCATTTTTTTTTAAAGTAGGGTTTTAATAATCTCAAAATAAACAATTCCAATATACTGTATTGTTTATTGGAATCGTTTATTTTTAAAATCAAGTAAAAGAGACAAATCATCATCACCATAAAAATTCATCACCATATTCATCACCATAAAAATTTGCTAATGTAGACGGGATAATTTTCTTTTCCATAGAATGATTGAATTCCCAAAAAGATTTAAACTATGAAACCTGCAGGAAAGGCCATATGCTTGAATCATCTATCAATATAATTAGTTGAAGTTCTCTAAATTGGAACTATCAAATTTTGTGATTTCTACTAGCATTAGGAATTAAAATAAAAAAGATGCATCAAAAATCCAAATTTTTGGATTCTTCCAATCTATTTTATCAAAACTCCACATTTGTATTCCTTGAAAATGGGATGTTCTCAAACAAAAATCAGGAATATTTTATTAGAACAAATACAGAAGAAAAAAAATTTTTATCAGGAACATCAAGACAACTATGATATTTAGAATTCCTAATAGACCTTAAAAAGAGAAGGATACTAAAAACTATAAAAGTCACTATATCCTTACTAGATGGCACCTAATAGAAAAAATTGTGAGGTTTTTAAGAGACCCATTATTGTTCAAAGTTCTATTTTAAATTTTAAAAAAATCTAATTCACAAAACAGCTAAAGTTAAAAATAAAAAATTAAAAAAAACTTAGATAACCTTGTGTATTGTAAGTTTGCCAAATGAAATAATATTGTAGTAAAACATAGAGATTCTAATAATATGTTAAAAATGAAATCAAAATTTTAGAAACTGTATGGAAATTTCAAACTATTGAGAATACGATCGACAAAACGATGTGGATAATAAAATCGTCACAAATTGAGTGCATTAAAGAGTAAGTCTACAAATGTGTGATTCGATCTTCTTATGTATGATAATGTAGCATTAAAAAACTATGCAAGTTCATAGCAATAACTGACAAAAATTCGATCGTAAATCCAAGTGGGATTGCGGGTGAATCATTAATAATTTAATGAAAAAAGAAGGATTTAAAGTTTGTCTAATGAAATAATAACGTATTAAAACATAGAGATTGTAATAATATATTAAAAATGAAATCAAAATTTTAGAAACTGTATGGAAATTTTAAACTGTTGAAAATGCGATCCACAAAACGATGTGGACAGTAAAATCGTCACAAATCGAGTACATTAAAAAGTCTACAAATGTGCGATTCGAATCTTCTCATGTGTGATAATGTAGCATTAAAAAACTATGCAAGTCCAGAGCAATAACCGACAAAAATGCAATTATAAATCCACGTGGGATTGCGGGTGAATCGTTAATAATTTAATGAAAAATGCGGATTCAAAGTTTGCCAAGTGAAATAATAACGTATTAAAACATAGAGATTTTAAAAGCCAAATGAAATTAATAACAACTGAACAAAAACGATCGTCAAAACCACACAGAATCACTGTAGGATTGTCACTAATTGAGTGGATCGAGAAATCATCTAGTCTATTTGTTATTTTACATGAAACAAGGATGTTTTGACGTTTATTTACCTTAAAGACCAATTATCCAGAAAATTCCGTTTTCCGAACTCGCCGAAGTCCTAACGATTCTGGACTTTCTACAGACTTTCTACAGACTACAGACTTTCTACTGTAAGTACATCAAAATCCTCATTTAAGTAATAACTGCATCTTAAATGTTATTCAAACATCACAATAAATAAATTTTATAAGTTTTCAGGGTTGCCACTCAAATCTGGAAAAAAAATTCCCTGTGTTTTCCCTGTACATTTTATATATAATATATTAAGAGGAAACAACAATTACTGTGCTCGTGTGTGAGCTATATAGGGCTAACTATATTTATTAGTTTTAATCGGAGGGAAAACAGCTGAACATACTTAAATAATGCTATGGTAAATGAAATAGTTTAGTATAGCTGAAATATCATGGCTAAATATCCCACAGATTACGCTTTGAGTGGTCACCATTTTTTAAAAGACAAAAATAAGAAACAAAATTCCCTGTATTTTCCCAGTTTGTAAAGAAAAAATCAAAATTCCCTGCATTTTCCCTGTTATTTTAGGTGATTTTCAAATTCCCTGTATTTTTCAGGTTTTCCCTGTGGAGTTGCAACCCTGTTTTGATATTAAATTGGAAAATTAAAAATTTAACTGGAGGACTAATAAGAAAAGAAATTAACATTTTTGTTCAATTTAAATTTGTTCATAGAAGTTTGTTACAAAAGTTACACGATTCATTACTTCACTTTTTTACAAGTCAGTTGAGCTACATTAGCATCAGTACTATTAACATTCATTAGTTCAAAAGACAAACATTTAATCATGCTCCTTGCATTTTTCACAATAAAACAAAACAGAACCTTATTAAAAAAAAATGATAACTAAAAACAGATAACAGTGGGCGGGGAAAAATTATGATATGAAAAAGTAAATACAAAGCTGAAGAAATGGAAAAGGTATGGAAGTAATTATACAAAATAAAATAGAAACTATATCAAACCTTTTGAAGAATAAAGTCCAACCAGTAGCGGCCAGACAAACAGCAGACATTACTATTTCATTCGTATACTTGGATGTAACTTTAGCAAGCTTGAAAATGGAACACACATCTTCTTGTTTGAGATCCTACTAATGGCAATTTACATTTATCAAGAAAAGCATTTTATAAATTTATAAAAACAAAACATTTCATTTCTTAATGCATCAACATGTTTTATTGTATATCGTTTTACATGCCTCAACATCTTTAACAGCCATGAAAATATATGAAAGCACCTATAATTAATCTGTTGACATTAATAACATTATACTTACATTAACAGTTTTAAGTATAAATCAGAAGTATTAAATAATATTTAAAAGAAAATATTAAGCAGGAATAAATATGCATTGAAGAAGCATATACAAAGTATTATTATTAACAAAGAAATACAGTAGTACGTTATCTCGCTTCCTATGTCATTTTCTGCTGGTACGTGAGAATTGGCTATACCGGTGTTAAATTATCCTGGATTTCACAGTACCCGTTTTACAAAAACCCGGCTTTATACGTTTTTCTAACAGATCAAAAGCATTTTTTATCAACGAAGCTAGCAAACTTTTTCTGAGTTTCCTTTTTCTTTTTGTTTGTTTACTAGCTGTTTGTAGCTCTTCTTATTTTAGATTCCATCTTATTTTCCTTTTGTCTTTCCCCCTCATGTTAAAATCAAAAATGTGGTGGGATGGACAAAGCGCAGGAATAAAGGTTAAAGAAAGTATAGGAGCTTCAATTGCAAAATTTGCAATTTGAATTTTTTCAAGCACACTTTAAACTCTAAATCTTGGAATCATTCATTCAAGTTTTACACAAAACAACTGGTTAGGTATTCAGTTCTTTTTCGTGATTCCGCTGACATGCAAGAAGCTTCTAAAGCAAAATTTAATGTTCTGGAAATTCTGAATTTGATTTCTACTGTGTTGAACAGTGTTGACTAAAATGCACTACAACTGGGTCTAATGAAGTTTCTCAGGGTTAATTGCTTCTCAGTATCCAACGGAATATTGGCCCTTCAGAACAAAATTGCATGTCTGAAAATCTTCCAAAGTCAATGACGCAAGACACATCCCATTACTTTTCAATACCTTCGATATCTGATTTAATACTTGTTTCCTATGATAGTGATTGAAACAATGAAGATACACAAAAGATTGTATACCCTCAACTGATCAAGAGTTTGAAAACATAACTCTGAAACATTTGTGGAAGTAAATCATAAAGCAAATTTTTAAACAATAGCAAGTATTTAGAGGGTTATTTTTATAATTGTATCAAAAAAAACAAAAAGCATTAAGATTGCACTTTTTTTTAGTAATTCAACTCGAAAGTTTCAATTTTTGAAAAATATACTTTCATTTTTTTTTCACCCCAAATTTACATTATACCAGTTGGTGCATTTTTCAATGCAAATTCGAAGGAAAACGTAAAACCGAGGTACCACTGTATTATTATCCAAATTGTTAAGTATTAGGGACAATCACACGCCCTTTAAGCTAATATAAAGGGATGTCGCTCTCTTCTTTGCTAATTGCAATTCAAACTTATATAATTAATTTTTTATGTGCAGCAATAGCATTAGGGTAAAAAAAATTTTATTAAAATAAGCATGACTAGAAGAATAAAAAATAAGCTAATTTTGTTTATTAAGTTATTGTTTACACAATTAAATTCAATAACCTTTCGGTTTAATACCTCTCTGGTGCAATTTTTATTGGTACATAAATTGCACTAAAGAGAGTAATTTTCAACAAAATTTGAAGTGTATCATTTAAATAAAATTACGCCAAATTAACAGACCTGGTAACTTTGTAGAAAGGTTATCATGAGCAAGGATTAAAAACATCAGGAGTTTTTGGAGCCATTTCAGGAGTATAACGCAAAACAAATTTAGTTATATTTCTATGCATAAATTTAAAAACTATATAAATAGAAGGACATGTTTAATAGAAAAATATTGAAAATGGAAAATTAGTAGTTATTGAATAATATTTAAACCATCTTAGATTATTAAATCCAGGATATCTGCTACATTTTAGATTTTCAAATTCATAACTTTTCACGACTAATTCCAAGAATTTTTCAGGACTTAACGAAGTTACTATTTTTCTCCGACAAAAACACAACAATAAATTTAAAAAAGTATTGTAATAACATTCATTGAAATGATAGGTGTAACCAAAACTGTTATACTCTGCATCTTCATATTTATAGATTTTAAATTTAAAAAACAGAGTAAAGAAAGAGTTGAAGCAATAAAATAGCTGAAAAAAATACAAAAGCAATTTTTTTTTTTTTCTGCAGAATTATATTCTAAAGATACTTTTCTTGTCCATCAGAAAGGAAAGAAATACTCCTGATTTTTCCATTCTCATCTTGGAATAAAAAAATTTGCCCATTCTGAAATCACAGAAGTTTAAAAGATAATTTGCTCTAGAAATGTTTTTTCTTCAATTTTTTGAAAGAAAACCATAATTTTTAAAGAACACAATAAAAACATTTTATATTTTAATCAAATATGACTGTGAGTGGGGATTTTGTTAGAAATTCAGATATTCAGAACACCATGAAATTGGGGGAGGGAGGTCAATTTCAAAAATTAGATTTTTCGGCGACCTATCAGGGTGGCCACTCAAATCAGATTTCAAATTTCCCTGATTTTTCCAGGTCTTCCAGATAAAAATCTTAGAATTTCCAGGTTTTTGTTTCTTTTTTCTTATAAAGTATAGGATGTGTACAAGAAAAGTGTCTATATTATAAAATATTTTATTCAAAATGTTATTTTTTTAACATAACATCTTGAAAAAAATAATTTATTTTGACAGTTTTCAAGATTTTTTTAAATTTATTTTTTAATGTTTTGGTACAAAATATCGAATCAAAAATCATATTGACCAACAAAAGAGTAAAATTAAATATAAATATATAGTTGGTTCTTAAAAAAACATTTTTTTAAAATTAAAATATGTTATAAAAGGTTAAAATGAAATAGAAAAAATTAGCATTAATGCAACAATTGTAACGATTTGTCGACAAACATTGCTGTTAGCGATTGTAAAAAAATGTGTGATTGGTTGGTTTGCTGAGAAAAATAATTCAGATTTCTTTGATTGGGAGTAGAAAAGCTTTCAGAAAAAGACTGCGATATAAAATCTATTATTAAATTATAACCAACTAATTTTTGGAGAATTTTATAAAGTTAAAAATACAAAAACATTTTGTCAAAATAGAAAAAAAAATT